TTTAAAAGAATCAAATCTGCCACTTGGAAGCCTAAGTCTGAAGTTTTTTTCCTTTGCTGTTGTAACAATGTTTTCTTTGTTCACTCTTATCTGACTATACTGACTGTGCAACAAAAGGGTTTGGAACNGTGGAGGCGATATGCTGACTCTGTAAACCGCTTAGAGAGGGCTGAAAGCCCTATGAAGTGGTATATAAGTCTAACTGCTATTGCTATTGCTATGCCATACCTTACCCTTGAAACATTCATCTATGGTCTGCAGAGCATGGACTCTGCTCCCAATCTCTCACCTTCTGATGCGAAGGAAGGACCCTTGTGACTTGTGACTTTCAGTGCAGTCATTTATCAAAAATCCCACAAACTGCTCGTTTCACCTTCTACAAAAAAAGCACCGGACGAACCCTGGTGGCTCCTCTGCCTCTCATATGCCTCCCATTTCTTCCATGCTTGCTGTTCTCTGGACCCCCAGGGGCCACGGAAGGATGGAACTGACACCATGTGGACTGCAAGGGACCCAAGCCCACCCGATACACCTCTTGGCATAGATTTGCAGCTGTCTTCACGGCTGCCACCTGGGTGTGTCACAGCTTGAAAAGAGATTGACTGAAAAGAGAGCAGCTCCCACATCTTGATGCCATGTGTGGAGACTGTAACTGCCACGTTTGGCAGCAAACATGGATAAAGGCCATGCTGGCTAGAATTCTGGAGAACCACTGTCCCCAACAGGCCTTCGCCCACCATCCATTTCAGAAAGGGGGGCTTAAATGGAGCAGAGAAAGTACAGGTTATTCCTTGACTTGCAACAGTTCATTCAGTGACCAAAGTCACTGAAAGGTATGACCTTTTTCATACTTACGACCATTACAGCATCCCCAGGGTCACATAATCAAAGTCTGGACGCTGGTTAACTCATATTTATGGCGACTGCAATGCCCTAAGGTCATGGGACCACCTTTTACGACTGTCTGACAAGCAAAGTCAATAGGGAAGCCAGATTTACTTAACAACCGAGTTACTAAACTTAACAACTGCAGTGATTCACTTAACAACTGGGGCAAGAGGGGTCATAAAATGGGGCAGGCTCACTTAACAGCCGTCTCGTGAGCTCAAGTGGGGTTGTAAGTCTACAGGTGCTGTAGGGCAAAAAATGCTTCCTTCAGCCTGGCTGGGAGTTAGGTGCTCTCCAAGGTCCTGAGTCGTGGAAAGGATTGAAAGGAGAAAGAAGGAAATCCTGTAACAAGCCTGTTTTTAAAAGCTCCCATTGCTGGACATTCCACTGAAGTGGATTTGAATATTCTAGGGCAGTGTTTCTCAACCTTGGCAACTTGAAGATGTCTGGATTTCAAGTCCCAGAATTCCCCAGCCAGCATTCGCTGGCTGGGGAATTCTGGAAGTTGAAGTCCGGACATCTTCAAGTTGCCAAGGTTGAGAAACACTGTTCTAGGGATCCGGCCCGGTTAATCCAAATCGCTTGCATCAGCCTGACTCAATTACTCCAGCCTTGTCTTATCATTTCTAGGAGTGGGGCTCTTTGGTATTGTTCTGCCAGCTATGCTTGAACTTCCAAATATAAAGCAGCTAAAATAGAGATTGGGAGGACACATGAACTGCTGGAAGGCTTTCTTTTTTAAAAAAGCAGACTGTAATTCTGAGACCCATAAAGGGAGACCTGCTCTCCTTCACTTCCTCTCTTATTGTTTGGGCTGCTCCAATGATTTGCGTCCTGGAAATGTGACAATTGACTTTGGGGTGATGCAGACCCACTTTTCAAGATAGAAACGGCGCTGCTGGAAATGCCGAGAGAAACGAGGAGGGAAGGAGGGGTCACAAAGCCAACCTTTTGTCTACACACGAGGAAGTGGGTCTAGGAAACCATTCTCTTTTTCCCCCCAAAGAGTCAACGGGAGGATGGGATGTTATGTACACACTTTACACAGGATGGGCTTGAGTGAAGATAAATATTATGAGACCCAGAAGTTGGGTCTGGAAAAGAGGAGTGGGGGTGGGGGAGGCCTGAGCGGTGTTACACTGATGCCCCTGGAAAAAAAAAACCCTACTTCTCTTACGCCTTTCCAGGAGAGTCGTCCACAATTTGCTTCTGAAACCCAACTCAAACACAGAGATGAGAGCATCTGTGAATAGGTTGGGGTGCAAGACAAATGCCCAGACATCGAGAATTGCTGTGTGGGAATGCCAAGATACAAACCTCCTGACCGTGAGGTTTTCCCAGGGCCACTGGGGAAAACAGAGCTGTTTGGAGCCTTTATTCCAACAGCAAGTTGAGGGACGTGGGGCGTCCTGGTTTGACAGCAAAGGCAAGGCCTCTGGATGGCGTTTGCCGGTATGTCTACCTCCTAGACTTTTGAGTTAAGGCACCACAGCTTTTATTTTGATATTACTAAATCCTCAGCGCAGGTGGGTCTGCTTATTAGACTGATATCTGTCTGTAGTTTTTTAAAAAATGGCATATGGTAGATTATTTTTGACATCTCAGGAAGCAACAAGGCTCCCAGCAGATGGGCTGAGGAACTACAGGGATCTTAATTTCCAGGACCTGCCTCCGTTTTGAATGGCAGGCGGGGAGCCATCCTTTCCCAGTGTAATGCAACTACCCCTCATACATCTGGAATTCTACTGCCCAGAGGTAGGAGGTTTGCTAAGTCACTGTCAGAAGGGCCAGAGAAGAGGCTCTGACCAAGAGAGATTCCATGCTCAGTGGGACCCCCCCCTTGCGCTTTCCCACAATTCAAATGGGTTCTTTTCCCTTGCCACCGTCATGAACATAAAGGAACAAAATAGGTGAGATGAGAATTTGAGCAGGACATAAATTCGAGGGCTCTGTGGAGGCCCCTTTCCGGGCTGAACACCAGTGGGATGAGAACCACTCCATGCCCTGAACAATGTTCCCCACAATTAGCTCTCCGTGGGGTTGGGTAGAATTTTTCCAAACCCCCAGAGCCAATTTTCACCATCAACCTGAGGTCTGTTTCTCGGATTCTTTTCTGAGTCTGAAGCAGGCCACGGCCTCGTGGAGGTTATGGAGGCTCTGCACATTTATCTCCTCTTTGGTTGAATATTTGCATTTTTTTTTCCTCAGGTTTCATTGGGGATTGCAGCACTGCAGTACTTGTACCACCGTGCCTGCATGGCTTCTGCGTAAAGGCATGGGTAGGCCAAGAATGCTTCCAGCCCACCTTCCTTCTTCTAGCGTCTACTCGGGAACTAAGATTCCTCAGCCTGGTAACCCAGACACTCCCAACATTCCTTCAGGGCACCAGATCAGGAAGAGCAGTTTTAGAGGATTCACTCAGAGGTATTAAATGCAGATTGAGCTTCAGCCCTGAGTTCAGAGAAACCTGGGCACTGAGAACGAAGGTTTCCGGGCGGGGTGGGGGGAGAGGGAGTTGATATAAGCCATGTAAACACAGGAAAAGAGGAAGAGTGTATCCCGTTCGGTTTCCCTCCCTTGCTTCATTGCAAGTGCAGTTCACAAAAACGGATCCCCAGACGCAACCACCTGCCTTTGTAAAAAAAAAATCTAATAAAGTTTGCTCAGTTCCTGCCCTCCCCTCTTTGCTTCCCATCAGCAAATTCTATTTCACAGAAATACATTTTCCCTTTGGCCTTTCTTTTCCGGATCTCTTCCCGCAGGCCCTTTGAAAAGCAGAGGATGTATTCTTGGCCGAACACGGCTCGAAATCAGCCATGCCGGGGAGAGGGAGAGAGAGGGGGAGGGCGGCAGAGAGGCAAAAGGAAGGATTGCGTTGATAGAGGCTGATATGTGACATTAAGACCAAAGGCCTGCTTTCCTCCAGGGATGGGGTGAGTAGGACTGGCGCCTGCACACCGAAAGGTTAACAGAGGAAACAGCCACTTAACCGGAGATGGAGTATTTCAGGCCATTCCAGAGGAAAGCTGCTCTGTGCGAGCCAGACCTTAATCTTACATTCGCCCTCAATGCTTTTCTCTCTTCCATTGGCCTTGGCTAATTTTGCTTCCGCTTAGTCAGTCCACATCTCCACCTTCCTTCCCTCTGCAATAACCCCTGGGGCTTCTTCCCGAAGCCAAGAAGCAGCTGTTCCTACCAGCCTCTGGGTGCCCCACATACAGCCAGCCACGCTTTCTCAACAAGAAGAAGCCTCTGTGAATTGCAACTGGTTATCAAATGAACTGCGGACCCATGGAGTGGAGCGCCAGACTTGGAGGGAAATTAAAAAAAGGGGAAAGAGTTTGCAATACAGTTTGACCCTGGAGAGAATCGCCTGGCCAAGGCAGGGGGGGGTTTAAGAGCAAGACTTTAACCCTTCCGTCCCATCGTATCCTGTGGGGTTAGCGGTGGGGGTGAATGGAGGCCCAGACTCTCTTTCATCAATGCTCCTCTCTGGAGGGAGATGTTGAACGGGGCCAATAAAACCGCAGGCCCCCAGATCTGGTCCAGGAGACCGAATCCACAGAGCAAATCTCATCCTACTGAACAGAAGCCACCTATCCCTTGAAGGAGTTTTATGCCAGCCTTTTCCAAAATGCCCCAGACTCAGGGCAGCAAGGGGAACCTGATGGCATATTTCTGATTGCAATTCTTCTCCTCCTTTCCCACAACCCACCCTGGATCCGGGAGCCTTCAGAACCAGGAAGGGGAACTCTTTGCACAGACATAAACACACAAGACCTATTTACTGACCCCCACCTTCTCTATGCCCAATTGGGTTCGGTGGAGAGACGACATTCTCTTAGCAGCTGAACGAGGAGGAGTCTGAGCCATCTCCAGCCTGCAAACCCGGCTTGGAAGGAGGCCTTCCTTTCAACCAGCAAGATTTAATTCCGGCGCCGGCTGAACTTCAAGGACTGGACAGAGGTTAGCAACGCAGGGCAAGGCCGGAGACCTCATGCCCTCCTCCTCCTCCTCTTAAAAACATCCCCACCCAGCAGGTGGGTCTAAAAGGGCGGCGCGCAGCGCATCAGCCGGCAGGAGAAGGTGGGGAAGCCACCGCCGCCGCTTACCTCCATCCGAGTAGGTCTCTGTCCCGTAGCCATCCTGCAGTCCGTTGCTCCAGGTGCCTTCGTACTTGGCCCCGTTGCCGGTGCACTCGCGCACCCCGTAGCGTCCCTTAAATCCGTGAGTCCATTCGCCTCGGTACACCCACTTGCCTTTGCTCTCCACGCCGATGCCGTGGCGCTTCCCTTGCGCCCAGGTGCCCTGATAGGTGTTCCCGCTGGGCCAGGTGTAGACGCCCAGCACTTCGAAGCCGTGACTCCAGGAGCCCGCATACTCGCCTTGCCCCTTCGGGCCGGTGCAGATGCCGTGGCCGTGAGCCTTGCCGTCCTCCCAACCTCCACAGTAGGACCCTCCATCGTCAAAATTAAACCTTCCCCCACTGGACATGCATGTAACGCAGTTCGCAAAATCTCAAAAAGGTGGGGCGGGGAGGGGGGGGAGGCGAAAGCCGGGGAGACAAAAAACCGCCCCCTTAAACGATGCACCAAACGCCCAGAGCCGCCGAGGGAGCCGGGCTTGGCCGCTGGCACATTCTCTCCAGAGGCGGGAGGGGGGAGCGGTTCCGGATCCGTCTCCTCCTGCCTTACTGCCGGGGGGAAGAAAGCCCTCCTGGGCCCGCGGAGCAGCGAGGGTTCCGGGGGCCGGGAAGGGCAGAGCGGGCCGGGCCGGGGGGCGCCGGCGGGGGTCCTTTCGAGCCGCCCCGGGCAATAGTCGGAGAGGGGAGGGGGCGGCGCGGGCAAAGGCCAACGGCCAACATATAAGGAGGGGGGGCTCCTGGATCGGCAGGAGGGGAGGGGGGGGAAGCGAGAAAGCAACGCCACAGACCAGACAAAGGGTCTCACAGCCCCCGCGGTGCCTTCCACCTGCTGCCGCCGCTGCTGCTGCCGCTCGGCTGGCACAATTGCTCCGCCGTTCCTGGGCAAAGCAGCATTTTGCCCGCGGCGTGTTCGCGGGAGAGCCTCCGGGTCAGCAGCAATGCAGTGTCTGTGACCGTCTCGATCTCACGCACTCTCTCGCCCCCCCACCTCACTCCCTCCCTCGCACACAGACAAACACACCACACACCCGCGCGCGCTCCGTCTCCCTCGGAGCCCCCCCACCCCGAAAGACTGTTTTCATTCTCTTCCCCACGCCTCCCCCGGCCGCCCCACCCCGCTGCGACTCGCAGCTCACTCGCTTCGGCTCCGGCTGGCGGGCGGGCAGAGCCGGCCCATGTCGGCCTTCAGAGCTGTCCTTTGGGGAGGGGGCCCTGGCACCAGCCGGGTGGCGGCAGAAGGAAGGGATGCGGGAGGCGGAAGAGGCGGAAGACCGGCGGGGGGGAAGGGGGCTCCTTGGCTGGAGCTCGGAGCGGGGAGGGGCGAGGAGCGCCTCGCATCGTTCCGGCCTCCTCCCCCGCCCTGGACCCCCGACTCACTTGAGTCCCTTCGCCCTCTTCTTCTCCCCACTAGATGGACACTGGCTTATTAAGGGGAAGGGAGCCCAGCATCTCTGTCTCTGCCCCCCCCCCCCGTGCCAGCTTCTTATATTTAAAGGTACAGCAACTGCAGAAGGTAGAGTCCTCCCTCCCCCCTCCCAACACAGATCTCGGCCGCTCTTCCCTCCCCCTCCTTGGAGGCAGTGGGCTCAAAAACCTCCAAACAGCTCCATCAGGCCAAAGGGATACAATGCCCCCCCTACAAAAATACTTATTTTTAAGTTTAAAGAACTCGAGAGGGTGGAATCTTATCAACCTGCAGCAGTCTGGCGTTCCTAGGAAGGAAATACTGTAGCCCAAGATGAATTTTCACATCTATGGCTTATGCTGCTTCCTAAGTGACTTTGATTTTAGAGAATGAGAAGGGAGCATGCTTAGGACTGCAATCTTAACCTAAGTGCTGAGGACGGCTTTTCCTTTTTTTATTCTTTCTTCCAACTCTGGAAGATGTTTTAAGTATTACGTCTCCACATTAAAAAGAAAGAAAGCAGCAACATTGATTTAGTATCAATTAAAACTGTAGTCTGGCTATTTGCTCCAGCTTTCCACACTGGGGGGGGGGGGGTTTAAGGCTATGAAAACAACCCGCCCTGCAAAATCTGAATATTGTAAAAAATGGATCTGCAGTAGAGAAGTCAAAACTGGTTCTCTGCAAGCATCTTAGCACTACAACTCTCACTGGTCACACACGCACAAAGGCCGGGTCTGAGAATTCTGGGAGAGGCAGTCCCAACCCAGCCCACCTAATCTGCGAGGAAATAGATTTGAAGGGATGCGTGCCCACCCAGCAATCAATCCATCGATCTTCTTAGCAATGACAATGCCGTCATTCAAATAAAATAAAAAGGACTTGGGTGGGCCTTTCCTGATGGCCCCAATGAAAGTGACCATTTTAAGCACTCTGATATGATAGCAAAAGGGGTTGGTTTGTCTCCTCCGTCTCACCAGCAGTTAGTTCAACTAATGAAACTAATAGCAATAGCAATAGCAGTTAGACTTATATACCGCTTCATAGGGCTTCCAGCCCTCTCTAAGCTGTTTACAGAGTCAGCATATCGCCCCCACAGTCTGGGTCCTCATTTCACCCACCTCGGAAGAATGGAAGGCTGAGTCAACNAGCTGAAGCCGCCGGATGCTCTTCAAGGGCAGCCCCATGTAGAGCACGTTGCAGTATTCCAGCCTAGAGGTCTAGGCAGATGAGTGGTATTTGAGAATTCATCTGGCAAAGGTTTTGTATGCCCTAGTTTGCAGTACAATATTACCAGAGAAGAAACTTCACAAAAGTTGCTATTATAATCTCTTTCTTCTGTGAAAGCCCAAGCATTGAGAGCTAAAGAAAGCTTTGGAATGATGCAAAGATTGTCTCCTGTATGAAATAGTCCTCAACTTGACCTGCAACCAGCCTAAGTTTATTATCTGGGTTTTTTCCACAGTTGCTAGATTTGTTTCACTTGTTCTTTTTCAGGGGGAAGATCTCCCAGGGAAGAAAAAGCTGATAATCTCTCATATCCTGCTTTGCTGAGAGTAGGCATAAGGGTACAGGTTATGTACTGTAAATGTCCAAACAAAATTAAATTCACTATGCACATCAATAATTAATGATATTAAAATAGACTGAACCAAGGGACACCACAAATGGGGAAAACAGTATATAAGTTATACTACATATAATTAGAAAGTGAAAAGAAATGGATTTTTCTGCCTAAAAACCCCAAGAAAACATTGTATAGTAGACATCCTTTTTAACCAAAAAAAATCAGAAACATGGGCTAAGTGTTTAATAGCTAATCTGTCAATGATAGTATTTCCATTTCATTATGATATGGTTTATATGATCCATCATCACAACTCTTCTATGATGAAGAAAGAAAATATACTTTGCTACTATTGTGGATAGTCCCGTCCCCCGCTTTAAAGCAATGGATACTTTAGGACAGATATTTTTCCAGTTAATTTTCTAACTATTTGTTTATTTGAGGCTTCGAGTCACTGTTAATTCCTGGACTTGTCTCTGTAGTTTTCTTGAAAAGATTTTCAGAAGTGCCTTCTTCCTAGGGTTGAGAAGAATGACAGTCCCCAAATCACCCAGTCTCCCAGTTTCTAACCTAGTGTCTTAACCATTACACCAAATGGCTCTCACCTCCTTTATTGTGCTCTATTACAGTATGCAAAGACTTATCATTCTGTTTTGTTTCCTAGAAAAAGCAAGCAAACAAACAAACAAAAACCATTGGAATAGAAACTGGAAAATAGCAAAGGACTATAATTAAAATATATTAATCTTAATTATAAAACTGCAAACTTATTTTCTTCTATCATAATTTCTATTATGGGCAGATTCTTTTTATGGGAAATGCTATATTAAAGAGGAAATCAGAAATACCTTGAATCTTTTTAAGGAGTATGAAAAAATATTAATTAATTATGGAAACTGTGAATTATTTATATCGGTGGTATTTGAATGAATGGCGGGGAACGAGAAATTCAAGGTCACATCTTATTCATGGGTAATACTGAGCTATTATGTTCTTTCCATCAGCTTATCTCATGAGATCGTTGTGTAGGTACAGTGAAATCTAGATTGCATATCTTTAGCATTCAGCATCTGAAAGTTCTTTGCAAAGGAAATGAAAGTATTAGAAACTGCAAATGCCAGACTATTCAATGGCATTTTATTTTATTTAAAAATAATAAAGGGTGAAGAGTTAGCAAAAAGGAAAAAGAACTGTTCTTTCAGAGTGAAATGATCAATAAATCTGTTTAGTTAACTTAGTTTGACTTCTTTTACAGTTTACACATTTTGTTAAATGGTACCAGGCATCAGCTATCTTAAGCCACTGCCATCACTTTCAGCATCCTTAAGTATTGCCAGGTTGCTTTTTATAGCTTTTATATTTAAAATCCCACTTTAGCTTAATTAGTTCACTGTCCTGCATATAGACATTATAGAAATTATTATTTTTTCAGATGTGTATTTGTTCTTGAGTTAACAGATGTTCTAAATATTAGGAAGATTTCTTCCTAATAAAGAATTGGGTGTTTTCATGGTGATGAAAGCTAAAATTGTATTTTGGAAGAAGTGAGCAGATCTCATGCATTATGATTTAGCACAACAAATGGATTATTTATATAGAGAAGCTAAAACTATCTATTTTTTTTCCATTTTATTCTGGGCAGCTGTCTCCATCCTTTTCATCTCCATTATTCCTGAATTTCCTCTCTCCCATTTTAGAATTCTCCATTCCTTCCCCTTCTTAACTAGTGGTAGGAAGAAAGGGGATGTGACCCCTTATTATCCTTTGTCAGAAATCCATAATATTTCATATTTTTTTCTTTCATTTGAGGGTGAAGCAATCTCTGAATCTCACCAGCTATTATATCTTGTCTTTAGTCAAATTCTCTTCCCCTAAGAATTGGAACTGGTGATTTTCTTATGAGTATTTTGCCAATGAAATTCTTAGAGGAGGAGGGATATGGATATGTTGTCTGTTGACTCCTTGGAATGAGCAGTCTGTGTGGTCTTCCCAATAAATGAAATATTCCTATAGGCTGCTTCAAAAGTCCAAAATATATCCTACTTCAAGTTCTTCATCCTCTGTCCAAGTTAGAGGGACAAGTCAAGAAGGATATTCTGGGATACAGGAATGGTAGGTATGGCAGGGTGTTTTCCACATAACTGGAAGCTGAAGTGAAAGAACAGAAGATCAATCAGTGCTGTTAAAAAGAAATAATGGTATCCAGTTTCTTTCTTAGACCATCATGTAGAGGGGAAGAATGTGGTAGAAATCCAGATACAACTTTCAACAGCAACAGGGAAGCTTCATATCAATGACAGTCAGCAGATACTTTGTAAGAAGTTCTGCCATGATTTAGTGTTGGTAGATCTTTTCATCACTGGGTGCTGAAATGGGAG